TTCCACCATGAACTAAAAAGTGAATTAATTCCACCAACATTCCTTGGGAACCCAGTAGGTACCAGCACTGGGTAAGCCCTTGATATGTTAAAATCAGTTTCAGAATTTTCTGGGCTTTTTGGTATACAAATAATTCAGGGACATATGTGGATTGACAGTAATTTCCTTTGACCAGTGAGCCAATTCTTGACTGACTATGGCAATAGAAGTGGGTGAGTGAAAACAGCACAAAGAAAAGATATACTTATTTATACCTCCTCTGTCCATTGGACATTTTCACATATTCTCCCTTTTCTTCCATTGTAAGCCCATGGCCAGTATCACCGTTACATTGCAAAATGGTCAACACTCAGTTCTACCTCTCTTTTAACCTATCAATGAGAGAACACAGCCATAAAATTGGGTTAACAAAAATAAATAAATAGTTGAAAGAGAAGGGGCTGAATGAACCACAGATTAAATATTAAGTATTTAGGTATTCGAGAGCAGACATATCTTTAGAACTAGTTCTTTTTGGTGGAATTTCATAACATACAATAATTTTATGTCAGAATTTCGTAGTGTATATCATTGCCAGAAAAAGCCTGGTAAGAAAAGACTGGTTTATAGAAAAGGTACTTCGTAAGTTTCTAAATGCCTTGGTAACCAATATAAAACATTGTGGTGTTCACATGCCAAAGAGAGTGTATTTCACTTACATTACTTCAGAAGAGAAGTTTTTCCTATCATCATTTAAATTATAGTGAGCACATTACACAGTAAGGAATAATTAATTATATCCATATATTCAATTTGTTCCAGATTCTAAATGTCCTTCATATTTTTTGCTCATATGTATTTTATTTGACCCTCTTTGGGCCTTGAAACAGTTAAGAGACTTTAATAACAAACTCATAAAATACAAGAGCCTTTGAAAAATAATTCCTTAACTCTTCAACTAACTGGCTGGAACGTTAATTTGACTTTTCAGGTTATTACCTTGTGTTATCATTTATAATGTTTAACACACTTGGAATTTGGAAATGCTTTAGGGAAATATACACATCTAATAAACATAGAAAATATCTGAGTACAGGAAAAAAAGTTACTTTATTTTTAAAAATAATAATTTCTTAACAGCTTTGAGCTATTGATGACTCATTACCTCATGACTTCAAATGAATGATTAATTCACTAACCCTTAGGGTGACTGACTCAAATGAACTAGATAATAAGCACTGTTAATGCCTACTAAAATGTATTTTAAAATCCACTAAGAATATTTTTTCATTGCCTCAGTGATTAAAAATTATAAGCTTGGTTTTATTCCAAAATTAAGTATAAATGGAATGCCTTTTACTATGCATGTGCTTTTAATAAGTAGGAAAAACATATGGCATTCTCTCCTCCTCTCTTATCTCCCAAATACCACACTCCTTCCTTCCTTCCCCCTTTTTGCCTTCCTTCCTGTACATGTGGTTTATTGAATATGAATGCAAATGTCTTATTTTAGTTCCATACATCTTGCTGAAAGACAACATAATGGTTTGGAAGGGCTTAATGGCACAATTTTCATAGCAGTGTTAGATAGTTAATACTTTAAAACATGAGAAATCAAAGTAAAATATGAAAAATTCCCATTCTAAGCTTGGTGCTGTCTCCAATAGCAGTCCCAAGTATAACCTTAACCCCAACCCAACAAGATGTGTGGGACATTTCAACACTATGCTTCCTTCCAGAAATTGTAGATACTTCCCTCTTTACCAGTCCTAAGAAACCCCAAATCTAATCAACAGATTTTGTGCATATGTGTTTTTTAAAATTTGGTTTGATTCTAACTGAGGCAAATACTAGGAATCAACAGTCCTGAATTCAGGTCTTGACTCTGCTGACTTTGGTGCTGCACTAGGTGTCAGCCTTAATGTCCTGTTTCTTCCAAATTCCAGGTATTTCTGTTTCTATTAGCAAATTATTCCATCTTTTGTACTATACTGTGGCCTTGTCCACATTATAAACAGTTGAGCTGTGCATATAACTCTACACTTAATTTGTAGAGTACACATGCTCCTGGGGACAGAACATATACTATTTGGTAATGAGAAATAACTAAAAAATTATTGCAAGTCTCACACTTTTAAATTGTGAATTAATAAGGGAGAAGACCAAAAAAAGAGTGATATTTTTCCTCTGTTATTTTTGTAATAAAGCAATTGATGAACCAGCCAGAAATAAAGGATTACAATAAGAAGAGAATAGCCCAAGCTGAAGATTCTGCCCAGTTTGCTGAAAACTGCCTTGATGTGAGAATAACAAGATACTATGAGTAGATGTAGATGCTATGTTTTTTCTTTTTTTTTTTTTGTTTGTTTTTGTTTTTTTTTTGACAGAATCTTGTTCTGTCACCCAGGCTTCAGCACGGTGGCACAATCTCAGTTCACTGCAACCTCCACCTTCTGAGTTCAAGCAAGCATATCAAGCCAATTTTTGTATTTTTAGTAAATATGGGGTTACACCATGTTCGCCAGGCTTGTCTTGAACTCCTGACCTCAAGCGATCTACCCACCTGGGATCCCAAAGTCCTGGGATTACAGGTGTAAGCCACCCTGCCTGGCTGAGGTTTCTTATATCCTCTTTATTACTTCCTTTTTCTTATACACTGACAGTAAGAGAGGAAATAAAAATGTAGTTTACCTAAAATGTATCTCAAGAACAGGAATTGATCTGCTGATATATGAGAGTTGAACTACTTCATTTTGTCACTTTAATGAGCCCTGTTCTTCGGCAGGCATTATTTTTAAATTATTATTCGTTATGAAGTGAAGTGTTCCCCCACCTCCAATTGCTATGTTGAACTAACCCCCAGTACTTAAGAATGTGACTGTATTTGGAGATAGGGCCTTTAATGAGGATATTAAGTTAAAATAAGGCTGTCATGATGGGCTCTAATGCAGTCTTACTGGTATCCTAATAAGAACAGGAAATTTGGAATATACAGTCACCAGGGATATACGAAACCACATGAGAGCACATTGGCGAGTCAAGGGGAGAAGCCTTAAGAGAAATCAAAGCCACCAACACATTTTCCTAGACTTGCAGCTTCCAGAATTATGAGAACATACATTTTATTGCTTAAGCCACCCAGTTTGTGGTATTTTATTATACCAGCCCTAGAAAACTAACCTGCTATCTTAAGACGGCATCAACTATTAAGTAAAAGACACTTCAATGAAGTGGGCCTTTTTTATCTTATGCCGTCATCCTGGGAAAAAACAGCATATAGAGAGAAATCAATGAGTTATGTCAGTGTGAAAACACCTCACAAAGGACTTTAATCATCAAATGGGAGATTAAAGACAAAGGCCTTCAATAATCCAATAACAACATTATATACACTGAAAGCTTGATATAAGGTCTAAAATAGGATTACATATAGGGTCAAGGAAGGGTGACAGAGCAATCTGTCGAAAGTAAGAGACTGGATAACCAAAGGACCAGTTCCTACTTAGAGAAGAAGCGATTAAGATCTCTGAACAACCTGAACACCACAGTAGGCGGATGTATGTCAGTGGTGAGCCAGCACTCTAAAATTTAAAATGTTATAGGAAAATTATTGATAGACTACTGGACCTTTTTCTTTTTTATAGATTTTACTTATTTTAGTTATCTGTGGCGAACATAAAAGCTGACTGCTAAACAAGTAACTCAAAATTTAGTAAATCGTAAAGAGCCACTATAGTATCCATTTTGATACACACTTGTGTTAAACAATGTTTTTCATTTTATATTGCCATTGTTTCTTTGAAGATTATACAGATGGAAATATGTATGTAAGCCTGAAAGCTTTACATGGATGCCAGGTCTTCTGGCTCCAAAATCCACGCGTCCCACCGCTCTGCTCTCTTGCAGGTCCTCCCCTCATACTTTGAGAAGCAACCTGCTACAGTGAGGCCGGGACAGGCTGTGGATCTCCATCTGAGAGCATCGAGAACGCTGGACCTTTAGAGTTAGAAAGAACTTTATAGTTCTTACTCATCTCACTTCACAGGTGAGGAATTCAAAGCTTGACATTTAAAAAGTAATTGAAATCGAGGGATTAAGTGACTGGCTCAAGGCTACATGGCCAGGGTTGCAATGGCACTGAGGATGTATTGCACCCTTCTCACCTACTCTACACTAAGAACCTTTACTCACCTCTCCATATCCCCATGTTATGGGCTAACTTGTGTCCCCCTAAAATTCATATGTTGAAGTCCCAACTCCCTGCCCCTCAGAATAACCATATTTGGAGATTTAAAGAGGTAATTAAGGTAATTAAGATTGAACAAGGTTTCTATAGTGTGCAGTTCTAATCTATTATGGCTGGCATATTTTCTAAATAATTTTTAATATTCACAAAAGCCTAATGGAAAGACACAAAATATGGTCTAACTAGAATTCCAGGTTTCATTGCTTTTAGGTAGAATTATACCAATGTGGTGACATCAGCTATCTCATATGCATCTGAAACTTTTAATTAGTAATATACATCTTTAATTTAAAATGAGAAAATTATGTATCATTTAACAAAGTTGATTTGCTTGATAAATTAAAAACTCAGGCTTTTTGATGAAGATTGAGCAGGAACCACTACTTTAAGCCTCCAGTTCCTTTATGTGGATCATCTAAGACCCATGATGTTTAATCCTCTTCAAATTTCTAGAGTTCTTTCAGGGATGAACTGAACAAATTATACGGCTTCAGTCATCTGTCACACCAGGGGTGTTGCGAGCCACTGTTTTCAAATCTCAGTGCTACTGAGAAATACAGCTTGCTAGATGCTGTGTTTGGTTATTTTCCTGAGAAAAAATGAAACTTTAAGTGAAAACAATCCCAAGATAACATTAAAAAACAGCCTAAATAGGGGGATAGACGTAGCTCTTTAACTTAATAGAAGCAAAACTTAAAAACCAAGATACTCAGTACATGTACTAGGGTATCAAGTGCCCACAGTAGAACATATCTGAAAGTGTGAAAACCAGTACTTTAAGCAGAAATGTACATTTTATTTAAAAAGCAGTAGCAAAGGTGTGAAGAACAGAAACTTCTATTAATAACAGAAGTTTATTAAATGCTTTATAGTAAAATATTGAGCCCACTCTGTTACAATACACAGGCTTAATGTTCTAACAAGCAAAACTGTGTCTCAATTGAGGGAAGCTTGTGATGCAAACGCAATGTGGAATTTTGGGGAGCAACACAAATGGATCCTCCTTCTGCTCTTCCATAACCGCAACACTGATGTTCAGAAATGCTTAGGTATTGGGAGAAACCTGTAGAATTTCCTGAGTATTCTATTCAACAGTTCTTACAATTATGTTACCTTAAAGGAAAACATGAAAATTTCCTGATGGAAACATCCATTTTAATATTTATTATCTTCAGTAACTAAGAAACACAATCCTAAAAATGTATTATACCATAAGAAAGTCTTTGGAGTTATCATAAGGCTTTCCAGCACACGGTAAACTTCAAGGCAATTTATCAAGAACTAAATGTTTTTGAATTACCAAGCTAGTGGCATGTGAAGGTGAAAAGAAATGTCAAGGTTAGCCGATTGTTTTCCAAATACCAGGATCTAAAACATATTGGGGGAAAATAGGATGTGGGAATGAGGGACTATTGGAAGTAACAGATGGCTAGAAAAAAGTACTGAGACTAGTTAGCATTAACTAGCATGTAATGTATCTTCATTCATTAGTCAACATTGCATTCATGTGTATAATTATTTCAGGATAGTATTTCTACAAAGTATATTGGTTTATCAAGTCAGCTTGTGAATTTTGATTCTGAATACCTAAAGTTATAGCCACTATAATTGCATTTTGATATTTATCCATAAGTATGTCTGGCATTGTCAGTGATGGCTCTTGGATACATTGTTTCTTGATATAACATCACTGAAAACAGAACTGATGTTGAAAAAATACTACCTATCTAAAACTCAGGATTCACAATAAACTTAACCAATTCACATCATTGAGCTCACACTGAAACTAGGTCTCTTTCATTTTAAATAACTTAACCAAATCCTAAAAAGAACAATTATTCAGAAAATCACAGCCTAAGGTTTACACTCATAGTCATCCATAATACGTATTGAGTATTGGGACTGAATTTGTACTCCTGGTCCGCACTTTGGTACCCTATGTTTTCCATATTGGACATTTCATTTTATAAACAGGGCAATTAAAAGTAAAGAAAATAAGTTTTAATTTGGATGCAAGTATTTTGCATTCATATTACTAAAAGAGATCATGCTTTCAAAGGAAGAGAAAATAAAATCATATGTGATTAATATAGAGTACTACAGTCACAAGTAACCCAAACATACAACCATCTTCATTACAGAACTAAGCAGCCAATTCTAATACACTACAAACCATTTGATTAAAAAGGCTTACAGCCAATGCTTTAAGAAGGAAACACCAGTGAAAATATTTTTAAATATATACCCTTGTAAAATGATATATTCCTTTAACACTAAAATCTTGTTTCAGAAGTTCCCCGCTTTAGGTTGTTACTCAAAAACTCATCATGTTCAAAACTTAAATTATTGTGAGATCTTGAAATCATAAGAAGCTTCTCCTTATTGGTAAAGTCTTTTTTGATGGCAACTTGGGGCACAAGCAACCTATCCATTGGGTCCTCTTTGTTCTCTAGTTTCATATACCCCTTGCTGTTGTTCCGATCCAACCTAGGCCAACTTGGATGTTTCCGTTGTTCTGCCTGAACAGTTAGAGTGGAGGGACCCCGGTCTAAGTCTAAGGACTTTGAGTGTGATGACAGCAAATGCAAGGACGTATTGGACCCAAACTGTCTTCTAGCAGCCCCAGGAGACAAGAGCTGTCCAGGCCCAGGCCCGAGAGCCATAGATGACTTGTACTGACTCGACAGTGACTCCCCGATGGAATTATTCCTTGGTAGCACTGTGCTGACAGGCTGGAAGGAATCACTGGTGTTGGGCAAAGGAACCACAAGGGAATCCATTGACAAATTCCTTGACCTGCTTTTGAGGTTGTCAGCATCTTCAGTGATGTTATCTATACTGGGCTCATCAATAACACAGTTATTAAGTTTGATCACAGGCAATGTAAAAGCACTGATGGATGATGACACAATTGACTTGGTTTCACATTTCTTAGAGCTGCTGGTCTTATCATCAGATGTCTTGGAAGGAGGTGGATAGAGGCCAAAGACAGAGACAGAGCTGTCAGAGAGCAACGGGGGCATAAGATGCCCAGAACTCTTACTTTCATTTAACATAAGTTCATCCTCCTCCACGGAGCTGTCCATTCGAAAACTGTTCCGAAAACCCGAGAAAGAGGCAATCGTATTTGCTGCCAATCTGGAGGCACAAGAGCTCCCATTCTGTTTTACTTCTGTTTCTCCCATCAAGCCAGTGTACATGCCGTTCATTTGCCTTTGCTCCTTGATTCTTAGCGTGTGAATGTCAATGACTGTAGAATAGATATCCCTCATGTGTATGATTTTGGTCTCTTTGTCACGGTTTTCATGAAGAATGGCATTAGCACAAATGAAAATGAAAATGCCAATCCCCATGGTGAATGGACCAAGCATTTTCATCTTATCAGAATGCAAATGCTGCTCGAAGAAGCGAACCACCACACCGCCCTCATTCCGAATGACCTGAGTTTCATTTGTTGACAGTGTTGTTTCGGCATCAATAAAATGTTCTTTTTGGGGCCAATATCCAAGAACGGCCATGGCAATTCCTATAATGGAGATGAGCACTCCTAAAATAAGAAAAAATCCAGATGGGGAATAAAGCCGGATTTTACCACGAACAACCACAACATCTGCCCGGGGCCGGCGCCTGACAGGTTTCTTCTCTTGGGTAGCAGGAGATGGACTGAGGTTGACATGCTGCTGTGATCTGGCGGAGTCTTGCCTTTTCAAGGCAGCCAGGCCGGTTATCACTCCACCAGTTGCTATCATAGCTTGGCCTTTTATTCTGGCAGAAAAAAAAAAAAAAAGGAAAAAGATGATCTAAATATGTTCTTGGGGTATCAGCATCAATTCAATTAAACAACTGTTTACATAGAATTTTTGTTGCTGTTACAGTTTCATGTGATTAAATGGGGTAGAATATCTTTAATTGACATAGTTTTGGTACAAATTTTATTTATTGACTAATGTAAATTTCTTGAGATTTCTTTTTTGGCTAAGTGACTATTTGTTTTTTTTCAGTTACATTTCTATGGATAAAATGTGAGCTCGAGGAATATTTTGTTTAAATAATTTTATCACTTATAAAATAGTCCCCTGGCCACAAGACTGATGCACTGTCTCTCTCTCTCTCTCACACACACACACAGTTATCTGTGCTATTTTAAATCACTGAACAAACACTCCAGACTGACAAAGAGGATACATTCCAGCAATTCATGGTTCTAAGACCTCTCTAGTGAAAGTCATCAATGAATTCTTAGCTACCACATTTAATTTCTCTCTCTCAATTTTCATCTTCCTTATCTCTCTGTTTCCATAGATATTACCGGCCCCTTCTTTCTCCACACTCTGTCTTCCCTAGTCTTTTATGATGTGAAGTTCTCCTACTTCTGCTCTGACCTCACTATTTCAATAGACTCACCTAAAAGTAGAACTTCTCCCTAGAGTCTTGTCCTTGGCCATCTTCTCTTCCATACTCTCCCCTGGCATTCATATCTGTTCCTACATCTTCCACTATTTCCTTTATGCTAATGAGTCCCAAGTCTATATTCCAGGTCATATCCTGACTTTCAATTTCACACCTTCCACTGCCTGTTAGGGAACATACACACATCATGTACTGCTAGCGAAGCTGAACTTACCTTCTAGCACACACCAGCTGCAGCACTTGACTTGTCTGACTTTTTTAGCAGGGTTAGTTCTCAGGTTTGGCTCTTTACAGTTATCTTCCTCTTCCAATCAGGTTCTAAATCCTAGAAATTTCCACTACATGATGTCTTTTAATTTCACCCCCCATTCTAATCCTACTCTTCCCAGCCTTGTGCAGATCTTATTACCTTTTACTAGACCATTATTATAAACCCCTAGCTGGTCTTCCAAACAATTTCTCTTCCTTTACAATCAAGATTAATCATCTCCAAAGTTTGTTTAAAGAGCAGAATAATGACAAAATATTCTCCACTACCTACCAAGGCTTAAGCTGAAATTCTAGATCCACTGACTTTGTCTCTAACTTTTCTCTTTAAAACTAAAATCTAACCAATGTTCTGTATTTCTCATTCATATTCCATTTTGTATAATTTCTGGGATTTTTGTTAACAATGTTCCAGCTGTCCAGAATCCACCCCCTCCCCACCCTTGGTCTTCACATATGGACAACTGGCTAGGCATCAAAGCTCATATTCCACTTTCCTTATAAAGTCTTCTCTAGCTGACCCACTGCACCCCATGCAAGCACATTTATTCCTCAGATCACTTTATAATGGCAGGTTTTCTATGGTACTCATAATATAATATCACAGTTCTTCTACTTCTTATGATCAAACATCAAATTTAGTTCTTATTTTTATTACCAGAAACATTCACTGTAGTGGCTTCACATGGCCAGTGTTCAAGAAATATTTGCTAAAATGCTGAATGAGGGATAAATGACTACCATATTATTGTACTAACTTTCCTAGTTGAAAATATGAACAAACTATCCAAACAAAAATCAACATTTGGTAAAATAGCTATCCTGATTTATAATAAATGGTTCTCATGCTGCCATATCTAGCTGGTAGGAAACAAGAAGATATTTTAAGTCCCACAGGTCTTTGGCAAATTTCAGAGAGAGTTTCTTCAGGGCATCAAATCTCATTTTGCAGCACTGATCTCTCCTTTTGAATTTCTATTTATGATTTCTAAATTGTGTTTAAATAACAGGGTTGTGGTTGGTATCTACAGTTTCAACAAGCCAGTGAGTAAATCCAGTCTTCAGTTAAATTATAACTAGGATTAAAATAGTTTTATATTGGAAGAACAAACTAAATTGTAATCTGTTGCTCTAGTCTATGAAATTTATCAAAGTATACATACTACAGATTAGAACCTTCCCAAACCTTTGCTAAAATAAAGCTTAGTGTCAACCTATCTCTTCTTGAACCAAAAGCCATTTCAAATGTTTCAATTAAATGCTTAGATTAGATAGCAGCCATCTAGTCCAGTTATTTCCATATGGTGGGCTTAAGGATTTAGTCTGAAATCCTTCTGAGTAGAATAGAAACAAGGGCAAAAGCTTTTCATTTAATTTAAAAGCAATAAAAGTGAATTACATTCCATACAGATTTCTAGTCCTCCCCCACTTTTTAAAACATTAGCACTACCATTTTCTGTTCAGGAGGCTGATAGAGGAAAGGAGGTTAGAAGAGAAAAGATATTTTAAGAAACATATATGAGGAAGGAAAGGTGAAAAAGAGACATGGATGACTGAGCTTGCATGTGAAGAAAAGTGAGACAGGAAGAAAAAGCAAGGGTAGCTTTAAAGTATGAAAATTTATAGAAACAAAAAGAGGCAAAAATTCCAGAGTAGTTCAGAAATAAAGAATATAATGGATGGGGGGATCACAGTTTCTTCAGCCATTCTCCTGTTCAGGCCCAAAGATTAGCAAAATCAAGTTTGGTGCCAATGTCCCTTAATTCTGTTCAAGGCAATTCAATACTACACGAGGCTCTATTATGACTCGCGGTCCCAATCTAGACCCCGAGAGGAAAGCAAAGGTAAGAAAATTCAAACATGGTTTCAAAGAGCTTGAAACCTAATGAAGGAGCTAACAGATCCACATAAAACAGAATGAGATAACTCCTAGAATGAAAGCTTCCATTAGGGAAGAATCTTTCAATAGGCTTCACACAGGAGATAGCATATAGATCACAGTCAAAAATCAGTTTAGCAGCATTTCAGGAAGGTCAAGGGAAAGAAAGCAGGCTAGGGAACAGGACCTTGGCCAGCACACAACTCAGTGCTACAGGAGGTCAACTAGGTAAGTAAGGTCAGGGCAAGAGGGAGGGTCAAGTCTTGGGACTTTGCAAATGCTAATCCTAAATGCTGCAATTTTATACACATCTGCCATGGAGTTGGAGTAACACATAAATAATGCTGTTGTTATTTTAGAAAAATTAGTAGATGAAGGCAGGAATGGGGGACCAATACTGGGAAATGGCATGAGGATGCTAAAGGCAGTTTCACAAGAAGCCTAGTGAAGGCTGGGTACAGTGGCTCACATCTAGTACTCTAGCACTTTGGGAAGCCAGGTGGGAGCATCACTTGTGGCCAGCAGTTCAAGACCAGCATTGACAACTTAGCAAGTTAGCCGGGCATGGTTGCACATGCCTGTAGTCTCAGCTACTGAGGAGGTTAAGGCAGGAGGATCCGTTGAGCCCAGGAGCTGGAGGCTGCAGTGAATTATGATCATGCCATTGCACTTCAGCCTGGGTGATACAGCAGCCTGGCTCTCTGAAAATAGAGAGAGAGAGAGAGAGAGAGAGAGAGAGAGAGAAATTGAGGATTTCTGGCAAGATGGCCAAAGAGGAACAGCTCTGGTGCGCAGCACCCAGTGAGAACGATGCAGAAGGTGGGTGATCTCCACATTTCCAGTTGAGGTACCCAGTTCATCTCACTGGGACTGGTTGGGCACTGGCTGCAGCCCAAGGAGGGCGAGCCAAAGTTGACTAGGGGTCACCTCACCCAGGAAGTGCAAGGGGCCGGGGAACTCCCTGCCTAGTCAAGGGAAGCCATTATGGATTTTTCCCAGCACTCTGGCTCAGATACTGTGCTTTTCCCACAGTCTTCACAACCTGCAGAACAGGAGATTCCCTTCAGTGCTACAACATGAGCACTCCAGGATTCTAGCATAAAACTGGGTGGCCGTTTAGGAAGACACCAAGCTAGGTGTCTAAGGGGATCCAGAGAGAAAGGTTGGGTTACCCACAAACGAAAGCCCATCAGACTCATAGTGGATCTCTTGGCAGAAACCCTACAAGCCAGAAGAGAGTGGGGGCCAATATTCAACATCCTTAAAGAAAAGGATTTTCAACCCAGAATTTCATATCCAACCAAACTAAGCTTCATAAGCAAAGGAGAAATAAAATCCTTTATAGACAAGCAACTACTGAGAGATTTTTGTCACCACCATGCCTGTCTTACAAGAGTTCCTGAAGGAAGCACTAAACATGGAAAGAAACAGCCAGTACCAGCCACTGCAAAATCATACCAAATTGTAAATACCATCGACACTATGAAGAAACTGCAGCAACTAATGGGCAAAACAACCAAATAGCATCAAAACGGCAGGATCAAATTCACACATAACACTAATAACCTTAAATGTAAATGGGCTAAATGCCCCAATCAAAAGACACAGACTGGCAAATTGGATAAAGAGTCAAGACCCATCAGTGTGCTAAATTTAGGAAACCCATCTCTTGTTCAAAGACACACATAGGCTCAAAATAAATGGATGGAGGAAGATTCACCAAAAAAATGGAAAACAAACAAACAAACAAAAAACAGGGGTTGCAATCCTACTCTCTGACAAACAGACTTTAAACCAACAAAGATCAAAAGAGACAAAGAAGGGCATTACACAATGGCAAAGGAATCAATGAAACAAGAAGAGCTAATTATCCTAAATATATATACACCCAATACAGGGGTACCCAGATATATAAAGCAAGTTCTTAATGACCTACAAAATAGTAGATCAACGAGACAGAAAATTAACAAAGATATCCAGGACTTGAACTGAGCTATGGACCAAACAGACCTAATAGACATCTACAAAACTCTCCATCCCAAATCCACAGAATATATATTCTTCTCAGCACTACATCACACTTATTCTAAAAATTGACCACATAATTAGAAGTAAAACACTCCTCAGCAAATGCAAAAGAATGGAAATTGTAACAGTCTCTCAGACCACAATGCAATCAAATTAGAAGTCAGGATTATGAAACTCACTG